CTTAACTGACTGAGCAACCCAGGCACCTCTATCATTTATTTGTGAAAAAAAAAATTTAATTAAATTTTTATTTTAATTCCAGTTAGTTAAGATACAGCATTACATTAGTTTCAGGAATACAATATAGTGACTCAAAAGTTCCATACATCACCCAGCACTCATTTCATGACAGGTGCACTCTTTAACCCCATCACCTGTTTAACCCAACGTTCACCCCTCTCCCTGCTGGTAGCCATCATTTTGTTCTTATAGTTAAGAGTGTTTCTCAGTTTATCTCTCTCTCCGTTTTTTCCCCCTTTGCTTATTTGTTTTGTTTTTTTAAAATCCACATATGGGTGAAGTCCTATGGTATTTGTCTTTCTCTGACTGAGTTATTTCACTTAGCATTACACTCTATAGCTCCCTCCATGTTCTTGCAAATGGCAGGATTTCTTTCTTTTTTTATGGAAAAATAATATTCCATTATATGTATGTGTATGTATATACCTATGTGTGTGTATACACATATATAGCATATCTATGTTTATATGTATTTACACCACCTCTTCTTTATCCATTCATCTATTGATGGACACTTCGGCTGCCTCCGTAATTTGGCTGTAGTAAACAATGCTGCAATAAACATAGAGGTGCATATATCCCTTTGAATTAGTGTTTTTGTATTCTTTGGGTAAACACCCAGTAGTGTGATTACTAGATCATAGGGTAGCTCTTATATTTAACTTTATGAGGAACCTGCATACTGTTTTCCAGAGTGGCTGCTTGAATTCCCACCGTCAGTGTACAAAGGTTCCCCCTTCTCCACATCCTCACCAACGTGTTGTTTCTTGTGTTGTTGATTTTAGCCATTCTGAGAGGTATGAGGTGATATCTCATTATAGCTTCCATATAGTCCTATGACCTCCACCTACAGAATTTCTGGCCTCCTTGCCATTGCTTTACATTCTTCATCCATTACGACTATTAAACCAGTGGCCTTTCAACTTACCCTCCTACCTGAAACTGGTCACCTTTCCAGTATGTCCTGTACTTTGTAGCTTAAAATGTTGTTTTCTCTCACCTATAGGGTGGGGGCCAGACTTCATAGCATTAGAGTACATCTGGCCCTTCCCAAAGAGACCCTGACTTTTTTTGAGTCTTACCTTGTGCCAGATAATGCTTTTTTAAAGCATAAGTATGTCTCATGCAATATTTTGTATAAGTATCTCCCAAATATTGTACAGGGTGTTGTTAGAAGGTAGAGGAGGAACAGTAAAGTATCCCCCAAACTAAGAAAGCAATTCTGAGAGTAGAAAATGAAGCAGGTGACTCTATATAATTTACAGTTTTATTCAAGGTACCCTACTGACTGTGGGGATGAGGCAGGAATGGGAGGGCACATCTGGCAGAGGATGATCCACAGCAGCTGCACAGTTATTCTCTGCAGAGTCCAGGCTTTAGTCCAGATTTTACAGAATGAGGGGACACACAGAAGGGCACTGTAGTGAGATCAGAAAGTTTGCATACACCTAATTGACAGCTAACCTTTAATTAGATCTTGTGGCACCACTTGTGCCTCAGGAAGATGAAAAACCATGTTGTATTTAACAGATTCATGGGAGGCCAAAACAAGCCTCCCCACCCCTCCCCCCATCCTAGGCTTGGCAGACATTTATAAAGTATGTATATTAATCTCCAGGGGATCCCAAGACAAATCACCTGGTGAACACGAACTAAATGGAGGGACAGAGATGGCAGTCATTACTGTCAGCACCCCTGCAGACATACTAAACAATTAGTCATTGTTAACTCAAAATATAAATTTAACTACATAGTTTGTAGTTTATCTGGCAGTCCTACATGTCTGCTACTTTGTTTTGTAGCCTGTTAAAAAAATACAGTAGTGTCTCTGTGTATTTACATCTTGATGGGATCTAAAAAAATTTGCAGTTCTAAAAACTTTCTGACTACAAAATATTTGACATTTCTTTATGAAATCTTTAGTATCTATCTGTTCACAGACAAGGAGCTGTACTAATTGGGTCTCAACAACAATGCATTTTTGCCTGAGGCACTAACTTGAATGTTTCCATGTTGTTTTGGAAAAACATGTTTCAGATTCTGGTGTAGTAATGACTGGACCTTTTCTGAGTGGTAGGAATCTTCATTCAGGAAAATGAACTCAGTTAAATTTCGTCTTCTTTTTGCTTATGGAAATCTGAATAGCCTCAGTTACTATTGTTTCTTTAAGATCTTTTCTGGAGATAAAACTAAATTGCCATGCTTCAATTTTACTTCCAGCTTTGTGTCATTTTTTTCCCCTCTACAATGTTTTTTGTCTTGTGAATAACAGTTACAGTGTAATTTTTCAACTTCTGTTTTGTTCTGAATAATGTTCAACTTTAGTGTTGATAAGAAGCAAGTTGTTTTTTTTTTTTTTTAGATTATTTATTTCTTTATTCATGAGAGACAGAGGCAGAGACACACAGGCAGAGGGAGAAGCAGGCTCTATGCAGGGAGCCTGATGTGGGACTCGATCCTAGGTCTCTAGGATCACGCCCCGGGCAGAAGGCAGGCGCCAAACTGCTGAGCCACCCAGGGATCCCCAGGTTTTTTTTTTTTAAACCACTGACTAAATCTTTATTTTCCAAAAGTAGTAAAAATATCCTGCTTGTTCTCATGATGTAAAATTTTAATTATTCTAATAATATTATAGGTTTTACATTGAAACCTTCTATTCCAGTTTAACTAGAATAAATGATTGTCAACCTTTATCAGAAGATTAAGACTCTTAAAGAATGCCAGTGAATAAAAAGAAAGCCCAATTAATATCCAATTCACAGAGAAAAATATAGATAGCCATACATTTAATAGAAGATGTGAACCTGACTCATAATGAGGAAGATGGACATTGAAACAGGATAGTGTTTTTTATTGTTGGGAAGGAAAATTTTCCTCTACCCTTCAAGAATCTTCTGGCTGGTCTAAAAATTAAATTGACAGGAGACAGATTAATCGGGGAAAGTCAAACTTGATTTCTTGCTTTCATGGAATCCGATACATGATCTCATAAGCATGAGATCCTGAAGATAGGCAAAAAGGGTATAAATGTCATCCTGAACTAAGGAGAAGGGGGCAGGGGCCTGAGACTTCAATAAGAAGGAAAACAGTTCCCAGGAAGATGAAGAGGAGTATGTGTTTGGTAAACAAATGTTTACTGGGCCACTATTGAAACCTCTCTCTGGGACAGAGAGAGGAATTTTCAAACAGTTTACTCAGTTCTTCCTGTCTACCACACTGAGTTCATAGTATGCTGGACTTCTTTGTGGCGGTAGCTTTTTTCCTGGAGCTGGTCCTCTATTAAGTTCATTCTGGCCCCCTCTCCCTCCCCTTCCCCCCGCATCTAAATTTTGTTGAGGCAATTAACAGGGAAGGTCAAAGTTTTTTTTGAGTCTTCTGGAACTCAGTTGTTTTCAGTTCAAAATAATTCACATGCCAAAGTGGCATATCTTGGGGCCATTTGTTCTGAACCTTTACGTTAACTTTAAGTGAGATGCTTAGGTTGGGAATGTGAGCAGTCCCAGATATTACTGATGAGGTATAAATTGTTGCAGTCTTTGAAAGCGTGGTTTGACTTTACCTCTTGAAACTTTAAAATTTGATTCCATTTTTAAGTCAGGAGTCTATCCTACATATTTAAAGACATGTTTACAATGAGGCATGCATAACAGAGTTTACTGAGTCAGTGTTCGTAATAGCAAAAACAAATAACAGGAAACAATCAATTCTGGTCTACTAAAAAATATAAATAATGGTTAAAAAGTGGGCCAGGATTTTATGTATGATTAATAGGGAAAGATCTCCACAGCTTACTGTTCATTGGGAAAGCACATATTGTAGAACAGTACATATAGTCTTTTATTTAATAAAGTTGGTTTTATACATACCATATATGTGATGCCATACCAGTGTATGTATGTATGTAAGTTGGTATGCTGTGGATAAGTATGGGATGGGGACATACACATGTAAATTAATAAAACTACCCACCAAATTCTTATTAATTTATTTATTTTAAAGATTTATTGGGGGATCCCTGGGTGGCCCAGCAGTTTGGCTTCTGCCTTTGGCCCAGGGTACGATCCTGGAGTCCTGGGGTAGAGTCCCACGTCGGGCTCCTGGCATGGAGCCTGCTTCTCTCTCTGCCTGCGTCTCTGCCTCTCTCTCTGCCTGCGTCTCTGCCTCTCTCTCTCTCTCTCTCTCTCTCTCTCTCTCTCTCAAATAAATAAATAAAATCTTTTTAAAAATAAAGATTTATTTATTTATTCATGAGAATCAGAGAGACAGAGAAAAAGGGGGAACGGCAGAGACACAGGCAGAGGCAGAAGCAGGCTCCTTGCAGGAGCCCGATATAGGACTCAATCTTGGATCCCAGGATCATGTCCTGAGCTAAAGACAGATGCTCAACCGCTGAGCCACCCAGGCATCCCTACCCGCCAAATTCTTAACTTTCGAGGGAGAGGATTTGATATTTTGGGGTGGGAGTGAAGGAAATCTTTCACCTTTTATTCTATATATGCATTTCAGGAAAAATATATCCATGTATTACAAGTCAATTTTTTAAAATTCTGATGCTAGATTGCAGAATTCATTTAGGATAAGTAAAGGTGACTTGGGGGGTTACAGCACTGTATCTTTAAAAAATGGTTTAGAGAAAATTAAGAAAAAGTCTTTGGAAGAAGGACTTTTATCTCAGTCTGTTTCTCTTTGCACAAGGTGCATTTTCACCTTGGATTTTGACCTGTAGGCCGAAGGAACACTTCATGACAGCCCTTCTTTACCTGGCTTTATGTTTCTTTTTTAGAAGTTTATTTATTTATTTTTAAAGTAATCTCTACACCCAACCTGGGGCTTGAACCCACAGTGCCCAAATCAAAAATCACAAGCTCTTCTGACTGAGCCAACCAGGCTCCCCTCTCTTGACCCAGTTTTAACAGATGACTTTTTTTCTCTTTGCTCAGATTCCTTTTTACGAGGATATTTGTAAAGGCATTAAAGCTGGTGACACGTGTGAGAAGCTGGTGGGATATTCTGCTGTGTATAGAGTCTGTTTCGGAATGGCCTGTTTCTTCTTCATCTTCTGCCTCCTGACATTGAATATCAGCAGCAGCAAAGGTTGTAGAGCCCATATTCACAACGGGTAGGTCTGGGGTCTTCGGGGGTGAGGGGGTGGGGGGTAATTGGCTGTTTCCTGGTGTGTAGAACACCGTTCCTCAGCCTCCTAGACCCATCCGACCGTCCAACTGTCCAACTGCTCTTCCCCTAGTTGAGATTGTTGATGCCGATTTTAGGGGAGGTGGGACCTAAGAACCAGAATCTAAGTGTTTGTGACACTTAGTACCACAGTGAGAGCTGCAGCGGAGGTGAGAGTTTTTATTTCTTGCACTGAGACCTGTCCCTACATTATCTCCACCTCGGCAACCAAGTGGTGTTTTGCACAGAGGCCACGCTGACTTGGTCTAATTATGGGAAAAGGCAGTCTCCAGTCACTTAATTACTTCCCCTCGATTTGGAAGGAACAGTACCCACGGCGGAAACATGGACTGCCTGCCGTGCTTACCTTCTAAGAGGTCTTTTGTCCTGCCATGAATATCATTTAAATACATTTCCTCTCTCTCTCTCTTTTTTTTCTTTTTTCTAGCTTTTGGTTCTTTAAACTTCTGCTGCTGGGGGCCATGTGCTCAGGAGCTTTCTTCATTCCAGACCAGGAGACCTTTCTGAATGGTACAAATGGGGTATTTGGGGTACCTATTTATTTTGTTCTTACCCATTTTGGAAAATCGTTCCAAACTGTAGTCCAGGATGCCTTTGATATTTTGAATTAGTGGTTTTCTTGTGTGTGTGTGTGTGTGTGTGTTTAAATTGCCACCTTACCTGCCCATCCACATCATCCACCCTCTCCTCTCCCTCTCGCAGCCCCCCCTCCCCCCCTCCCAAGCCCTCCCTCTCTCTCTGGCTGGGTGTTACTCTGCAGCCTGGAGAGCTCAAATGATAATTTTCAGGTTATTGACCTGCAGGCAAAATGGGGCACTTAAAATTTGTTTGAAAACCAGTTTAGCATGTCAGCATGACACCATCAGCCACATTTGAATAAGCCCATAGAGGCCTTGTTCTGTCTGACTGAAGCCTGCCTCTGCCTGGCACCGGCTCCTTGGCGACTTCAAATCTCCTGCAGCTACAGCTGGATGGGAGAGGCTTCCTCCAGCCTTATTTCTAAACTTACCTTATGTGAAACTGTACAGCATTGAATTGTTTCTTACAGAATTTACCAAAATTGATTTAATTTGAAGCCTTGACTCATACCTGAAACAGGGGCCTTTCTTCATAAGAACCCGGGAGGAAGAAAAAAACCTAAATTTCAATGGTTCAAAACCTTGTTTAACCCAAACGAATTCATTTTTCTAATTCACATTCACACTGTGCTGGTCCATAAGGAACAGCCCACAGTCCTTCAAATGGTGACTAGAGGGAAGCCTGGGTGGCTCAGTGGTTAAGCATCTGCCTTAGGTTCAGGGTATGATCCCGGAGTCCCAGGATTGAGTCCCGCATCGGGCTCCCTGCAGGGACCTGCTTCTCCCTCTGCCTGTGTCTCTGCCTCTCTCTGTGTCTCTCATGAATAAATAAATAAAATCTTAAAAAGTTTTAGGGTCATGCTAGGTTTGTTTTCTTTTTTAAAAAATATTTTTATTTACTTAGAGCATATGCACAAGAGTGGGATGGAGAGGGGCAGAGGGAGAGGGAGAAGCAGACTCCCTGCCAGGGGCTCGATCCCAGGACCCTGAGCTGAAGGTAGAGGCTTAACCGACAGAGCTACCCAGGCACCCCTAGAGCCATACTAGTTTTATGTACTCCTTAAGGAAGTTATATCTAAGTCTTGTTTTTCCTAAAATGCTGTTACTAGTTTTCTGTTCCCCACGGATATATTTTTATGTATTAAAATGATAGATTTAGAATGGGAAGGGGCCTAGCAGTCCTCTAGTAGAGCGTCGTCATTTTTATAGACAGGCTGTAACCCAGAGGAGTGACATGGCTCAGTCGAGGTTAGGGCTTCCTCATCGCAGAGAAGTGGACCTGAGTCCTCAGCCCCTAATCTGAACCGCATCTCCCTACTAGCCTCTGGTGGCTCCATAGGCAATAAAATTTGAACCCTTTTTTCCTCAGAATATGTGTTTTTACTTTTAAATTGTGGGTCATTGTTGATTTTATGGATGGCTGCATCTGTTAGGATATCTGGCAGTTGCAGTCTGGAGGTTAAGCCTAGGCATTCCAGAGCCACATTACTTGTGCTCACACCCCAGCTGCACCCTTTGCCGGCTGCGGGACTTTGTCGGTTTACATAGACTCTGAAGTTTTCTCATCTGTAAAGTGGGTATAATAGTAGCACCCACCTTATGGGATTGCCTGGAAATTAAATGTGTTGCAGGTACAGTAAGAACAGAGTAAAGATGAACCGTAGTCATTATTCTCCTTTGAGCTCAACATGGGAACAATCCCCTCATCTCCTTTTGGGTGGTCTTCTTTTATAGCCTGGCGCTACGTGGGAGCCATCGGAGGCTTCATCTTTATAGGCATCCAGCTCATCCTGCTCGTGGAGTTTGCACATAAGTGGAACAAGAACTGGTATGTACATTTTTGGAAAGTTTCCAAGTGAACTCACCTGTTGCTCAGAGAAACTACCTGTGGTACAGTGTTGCTAGAGGCTCTGCTCCAAGATGTGGCGGCAGGGATCAGCAGCCTGCTCCTGCCTGAGACAGTTTGCCAGCACTTTCCCTTCACTCCTGCTCTTCGAACCTTCCCATTCACTTCTTTCCTATGCTGTTTTTCTCTCCTTTCTACTTTTCCTTCTTCTTTTTTGTTTTTGGTTTTTTCGCTTTTTGACTTTTTCCCATGCTCTCTCATTTGAGTTCTGAGTCAGCTGCTGTTGTGATTTAGTCAGACTCTGATCCATTGCTGGCACTTTCTCAGCCCTGGCTCCCTGATTGTGATGGTTGGTGCCTGAAAACTTGGGCAGGCTTTATTGTAGGCTTCTATCCTTAGAAAATTTAAAAAAAAAAAAAAAAAAAAAAAAAGGGTACTTTGGAGCTGAAAATATACTTTCTGCAAAAAATATGTGTTTGAATAGTTAAATTTTTTTTGGTTCCTTCTCAACTTGCCTAAAAGCTTAAGGACCCCTTCAATAGGAAGATCTGTTGTGCTACCTTAGAGAGCCATCCTGAATTTAAAAATGGAGTCTTTTCTAAGTGCTTGAACATGGAATTCACATCCTAGGATAAATGGGAAATGCCAAACGATTAATAGCTAATTTTATTTCTTGCTGAGCCATATCAAGGAAAGGGCAGCTAGATGAAGGTCAGCCCCTTGGGTATTAAGGCCAGGTGGCTTTGTGACTCCAGGCAAGGCACTTTGCTGCTTGCTGTCTTTATTTATAAAATATGAATGAAGGGGGGTGCCTGGGTGGCTCAGTCAGTTAAGCCTCTGACTTTGGCTCAGGTCATGATCTCGGGGTCCTGGGATCGAGTGCTTGCACATCAGGTTCCCTGCTCAGTGGGGAGTCTGCTGCTTCTTCTCCCCCTGCCCTGCAACCCACATGCCCTCCCCCCTAGCTCATGCTCTTCCTCTCTCTCTCTCTCAAGTAAAATCTTTAAAAAATATATGAATGAAAATACCCATTGCACCTCATAAAACTTTTGTTATTTTTTAGACTTTATATGTACGTGTTATTTTATTCTGTTTTGGAAAAAATCAGAAAGTGGAGTATGAATTTGAAATTTATTTTTTATCTTGGACAAAACAAAATGTATAGTCCAAATTCTTTGAAAATACTTTTCATTTTGATTATATCCCTCAGCTTGGTAGTTGTAGTAGTTTCGTTTTGGTTTTGGTTCTCTAGAGAACAAATTAAGAGGTGAAAGGCTAGTGTTAACATTTTATAATTTGGTAAATATCAAAGTAAGTACCCAAATATTTAAAGTCAGTATTGAAAATGTTTGCAGCACATTGACTGGTCACATAAGTAGCTCTACAGAAATTTGTCTAATAAAAAAATCATCCTATATTTTTCCTAAAGTTTTTGCATATCTACTTGGAAATAGGGAACTTTTAAAATAATAACATTTTCGACACTGAGTGCCTGATTGGCCCATTAAGTACTATGTTCTCTTGAGAATACTTGTGCTTCTCCAACTCTGACTTGACTGTTTTGATTGATTCTGAAGCCATTTTCTGGGACTAATTATTGATGCCAAGTTTTAACAGGCATTTTGGAAGAATTTGGCTGCTGTAAAAACCTTCCAGAAACCACTCAATAAGAATGGCTTAAGAGCTTTGTAACAAATGATGTTGCTGTTGTGTCAGCATTGAGGCTAATATCCCAACAAAATCCATTTTGTCAACATAATTCATAGTTGATTTGTCTGCCTAAATTTAGGATTAAGCTAGGAAGCTCACTAATAATGTATTTTAAGGTAAATTAATCTAATTTACTTTTTTTTTTGTATATGTTTTAACGGAACAAGTCTAGAAAATATAATACATCACTGTTAATGGAACAACCAAAGTGTTTTTTCTTTTTTCTTTCTTTCTTTTTTTTTTTTTTTTTAAGATTTTATTGTGCAAAAGCACAAGCAGGGGGAGAGGCAGAGGGAGAAACAGGCTCCCCGCAGGGAACCCAATGTGGGACTCGATCCCAGGACCCCAGGATCATGACCTGAACTGAAGGCAGCTGCTTAACTACTGAGCCATCCAGGCACCCCTGTTTTGTCTTTTCTTTTTTTGTTTTGTCTTTTAAATGAACATCCTGAGAAGAAGATCCCAGAGGCCCTGGGAAAGAGGCCATGAACCCAGAAGCCAGGAGACTCTGGATGTTTATACCCTTGCCCCTTTAATTCACTGTTTCTCTTTAGGTGTATTACTTGGCCTCTCTGGCCTCAGTTTTCACACCTGCAAATGTTTTACAGTTGCATTATATGTTTAATTATATGTTTTTTTCCTTCTACCTCCAAATTTTGTGATTTGAAGTGACGACTCTTTATCAAAATGAAATAGCAAAGAGTAGAAGGTACATTCAAGTGCTTCTAACAAAGACCCATCTTGTAAATGTGCTAGATTTGTAATTTCCATCGTGGTTGGGTTTTACTTCAGAGTCCAAGAAGCCAGCTGACTCTCCCAACCTGGTCCCAGCTTGCTACTCTGTGGGTGCACCTGCCCCCTTGTCTGATCCTTTTCTGATGTCCTTCTAAGTGCTTCTTCCCATTTAGCATTTATTCACAATTTCTGGAAGTCTTAACTGTGTGCCAATGTGGTAGGCACTGAGAGTATAAAGATACCTAAGTCGTGGCACTTAATTTGGGATGTGTGCAAAAACAAGTTGTCATCAAGGATGATGTCACAAATCTGGAGCAACAAGAATAGCAGCCATTGCTGCACAAAGTTGTGTTTTAACAGTTGACAGTCTTCGTGGCAGTATTCATTAAGCACATATTATTTGCCAGGCATTTAACAATAGGAGAAGAGTGGTGAACACAGTGATGTCCTGCCCTGTGGAGCTTACCTTCTGTTGGGGACAGTGGGGGGCATAGATGGATAATCAGTTTATGATCAAGCAAATAAGTAACAAGTTCAATGGTGAAAAGAAATGGAGGAAAAGAAAGGGTGTGGGCTGTGGGGAGAGCAGGGCAGGGAACGGCTTCATGATCATGTACGAAGGAGACAACCACGACCAGAAGGAAGAGGGAGAGCCTAAGGCAGGACTTCACTGGGCCCATGCTGGGCTTCTTCAGGGGGCACACGGGCCTCCGTGTGCTGCACCCCACTGGTGAGGAATGGGCACCAGAGGTGAGATGGGAGATGGTGCTGGATCAGATCACGTTGGGCTTCTGGGGCCCAGTGGGAGATGGAAGGCCATCAGCGGAGTTTGAAAGAAGAAGAACATGATACAATTTATATTTTAATTCCAGAAAAGATTACAGGGGATCAGAGTTGAGTTACAGGTAAGGAGGCTTGTGGGAGAAAATCCAGGTGAGAGATGACTGTAGCTTGGACGATGGTAGCAGCAGTTAGGTTCTGGTATATTCCAAAGTTGGAACTTGTTGACTTTGCTGATGGTGATGAGGATGTGGTGGGGAAGGAGGGAGCCAGGAGAGAGAGATTGCAGTTAGGAGTTGTTTTTTGTAAAAAAAAAATTCCCTTTCTTGGGGTGTCTGGGTGGCTCAGTTGGTTAAGCATCTGACTTGTGGTTTCAGCCACGAGTCGTGAGTTCGTGAGTCATGAACTTAGGGTCGTGAGTTTGGGCTGGATGCAGAGCATGGAATCTGCTTCGAATTCACTCTCCCTCTTCTCATCCCCCTGCTTGCTCGCGAGCTCTCTTTCTCTAAAATTAAATTTTTTTCCCCCTCCTCCTCCACAAAAGGGAAGAATAGAACTGCCATCTTCTGAGCTTGGGAAGATGAAGAAAAGCAGGAGTAGAGGGTGGATATGCAGATATTGGGAAGTCATTGTGCTCCCTCGTGTCAAGCAGTTGGATAATAGGAGTCTGGAATGGAAGGGAGAGGTTAGGGTTAGAACTTTGACTTTGGGAGTACAGGCATACATTAACTGTAAGAAAATCCTCCAGGTTGTGATCTCAGGGTCGTGGGATTGAGCCCCACCTTGGGCTCTGCGCTCTCCCCACCCCTACCCCCCAGAGTCTTGTCCCTCTCCCTCTGCTCCTCCCCTGCTCTACCTGTCCAGTGCTCTTTCTCTCTGTCTCTCAAAAACAAATAAATAGAATCTTAAACATACAAACAAAAGAAAGCCCTTCATATGCTAACAACAGCCCAAAAGACCATTGGAGAAACCATCGCCCCCCACCCACACAGTGGTCAGCTGTGTTCGCCTTTTCCAACGCACATTCTGTTTCTCTGTCATCGATTACCATTTGGCTTTCAGATTTTTTCCCCCCTTTCTCAAGTCTCCTTTTCTGTCATTTCCTTTGTGTGGCTTTTATGTTAGACTAATTCTGTGGTCATTGAGCGCCTGGCTTGGTTTCAGGAATACGGTGGTTATTATCATTGCTGTCTTTCCTCCCTGTTTGTCTCTGGCTGCAGTAACTTTTTCATAATTAAAATATTTTAGCTGAGTTGCCTGAATACTTTCCAGTTTGGGGAAAACATTAAGCAAGTTGTGAAGATTTGTTAGAATGTGGTTATTATGGGGCAGTTTCATCATAAGGCAGGTGACAGTGATTCACTTTGTGCTCCCTGTTGTTTTGTCCTCTTTGTTCGGTGGTTTTGAGCACTCTTTTTGTTGTTGTTGTTGCTCTGAACAATTTCTATAGATTATTAAGCCACCACTTACTTCTCCCATCCCTTTATTAATATTTAAGCTAGAAAGCAAATTAGTCTCTTCTTTAAATTTCTTACTGTAAATCCCATTACAATTTTTACTCATTTCCCAGCTGGTTGTGTTCCTTCCAGCCCTCCCTTAATCCTACATCATCCTTGGCACTGTTTGGAGGAGCAGTACACCGTAGACCCTCCTTGCAGCAGAGGGGTGAAGGGGCTGAGGTCAGCCAGGCTTCCTGTGCATGCAGTTCGTTTGCCCTTTCTCTCCCTGAGCAGCAGCTCTGGCGTTGGCACTGGTAGCAGGAGGTGGTGGCACATCCAGTCTCTGTGTTGAGAGGGAAAACGTGACGAGAACTCCATCTAAGAGCCACTTTTTTTTTTTTTTTTTAAGATTTTATGTATTTATTCACGAGAGACAGACAGAGACAGAGACACAGACAGAGGGAGAGGCCGTCAGGAGCCCCATGCGGGACTCGATCCCCAGACTTGGGATCACGACCTGAGCCAAAGGCAGACGCTCAACCACCGAGCCACCCGGGCACCTCTAAGAGCCACTTTTTTTTTTAAGACTTGCCAAAACCTACCAAGTCTTGGCACAACCTTGCCAAGTCTGTGGATGTGCATTTTAGTTGATGAAGAAACATTTAAAAATAGAATGTTTTAGGGACACCTGGGTGGCTCAGCAGTTGAGCATCTGCCTTTGGCTCAGGGTGTGATCTTGGGTTCCTGGGGCCCCAGGATCAAGTCCCACATCGGGCTCCCCCCTGGGAGCCTGCTTCTCCGCTTCTCCCTCTGCCTGTGTTTCTGCCTCTCTTTGTCTCTCTCATGAATAAATAAAGAAAATCTTAAAAAATATATATAGAATTTTTTTAGTGTTTAATAAACATTCTAACCCTGAACCAAAGTTGTTTTGCATTTTTACATGTACCTTCTAGCTTTGATAGAGCCTGTTGGTGGTAAAAGGATAGATCTTCTGGACCCCTGGGTTTATAAGGGCTTTGGGCCTGAGAGCACTGCAAAGCCTGAGGGATGATGAATGTCGTCAGAGGGTGCAGGCTTCGTTGACCTGTCTTCTGTCTCCCTCTTATCCACCTCTGGAGAAACAGGACTGCAGGCACGGCTAGCAACAAGCTGTGGTACGCGGCGCTGGCCCTGGTGACACTCATCATGTACTCCATTGCCACCGGAGGCTTGATTTTGATGGCGGTGTTTTACACACAGAAGGATGGCTGCCTGGAAAACAAAATTCTCCTGGGGCTGAATGGAGGCCTGTGTCTGCTCATTTCAGTGGTAGCCATCTCGCCCTGCGTCCAAAATCGTAAGCACAGTGTTTTTCCATTCCTCCTTATTTATACATTTTTTTTGTGTGTTAATTTGCACAAACCTAGTGTTTTTAGTTTTGTTTTTAAATTACAGTTATTCCTTAATTTACCATGGATGGGTCAGCCATGGGAAGGACGGGACTACAGCCTCCTCCTCGTATCCCACACTTGGGCTGAATGTCAATAAATAGGAAGATAGATGCTACCATTATTACATAGTGAACTACAAGGAGCCTTTACATGGAAGATGCCCTGAGTGTGTATTAAGTTCTTCCCTATGATCTCTATGAATGAGAAGGCTCCAGAAGGAGCTCTTTCTGGGCTCATCTTTCACTCAAGGCCTTGAGTCAGAAATCAGGGACTGTGTGGTCTAGGAGTCAAGAAGCAGGAAATGTGACAACAACTGGTCCCACGTGCTAACCTTCCTCAGACCCAAGACCCTTCTCAGCAAAGCCGACAGAAATCTATAAACCTTCCTGACTCAAGGTTGTTTCAAAGGCAAATGGAAGAGGGGCGCCTGGCTGGCTCAGTCAGTAGACCGTAGAACTCTTGATCTCAGGGTCATGAGTTAGAGCCCCATGTTGGGCACAGAGCTTGCTTAAAAACCCGAAAAACCCACAAAGGCAAAGGGAAGAGATCATGGGATGTGGAAGTACTTTAGAAAGTACAGGCCTGAGTTGTCTTCTTCTTCTTTTTTTTTTTTTAAAGGTTTTATTTTATTTATTCATGAGAGACACACAGAGAGGAGAGAGAGAGAGAGAGAGAGGCAGAGACACAGGCAGAGGGAGAAGCAGGCTCCATGCAGGGAGTCCGATGTGGGACTCGATCCCGGTCTCCAGGATCAGGCCCTGGACTGAAGGCTGCGCTAAACCGCTGAGCCACTGGGGCTGCCCCCTGAGTTGTCTTCTATAAACAACTTCTGATGTCTTAAGCCAGATTGCCATCTTTGGTTATAGAAAGAAATGTCTGTGATCTAATTTTCTTGAAGGTATCTTACTCTACAGGTGATGGAATGCAAATGATATTCAGGTTTCTAATAGGAAAAGGAAAAGGTGGCCAATAATTTGTAGTCCCTCAAATCATTTCTAAAATGGTGATTTAAAAAGTGAACTAGTCTTGGGGCACCTGACTGGCTCCATCCTGACTGGAAAAGCATGTGACTCTCAATCTCGAGGTCATGAGTTCAAGTCTCACATTGGGTATAGAGATTATTAAATTAAATTAATAAACTTAAAAAAAAGTGACGTAGTATTGAATAATTTAAAGGTTTTCTGGTCCTAAAAATTTCAAATACCTTATTGAAATTGAAAGTTCTAATCTCCCAGTCTCTTTAACTGATCAGTTAAGAATTTCCTAAAACATACTGGTGTTCAGATTAAAATACCATTTGGGTTAAATCCTACTTTTTTTTTTATTTTTATTTATTTATGATAGTCAGAGAGAGAGAGAGAGAGAGAGAGGCAGAGACATAGGCAGAGGGAGAAGCAGGCTCCATGCACCGGGAGCCCGACGTGGGATTCGATCCCGGGTCTCCAGGATCACGCCCTGGGCCAAAGGCAGGCGCTAAACCGCTGCGCCACCCAGGGATCCCTAAATCCTACTTTTTAAAATAGTTTTAATATTTTGAAATATTTGGCTTAATGCCATTAGTTGCTAAGGTGAATCTTATTCCCATGCCAAAGAGCAACATTATAAAAGACTCTATTTCTATATTTTTATGGGTTAGTACAATTTAATAATTAGAACTTGAAACAAATTTAATCATAGGGAAGTGATTAAATCCTTTCATGTATGCAGATGGTTGAAAATTCCACTAAGGATCCCTGGGTGGTGCAGTGGTTTGGCGCCTGCCTTTGGCCCAGGGCGCGATCCTGGAGACCTGGGATCAAATCCCACGTCGGGCTCCCGGTGCATGGAGCCTGCTTCTCCCTCTGCCTGTGTCTCTGCCTCTCTCTCTCTCTCTCTCTCTCTCTCTCTCTCTCTCTCTCTCTGTGACTGTCATAAATAAGTAAAAAATTAAAAAAAAAAAAAACAAAATTCCACTAAAAAATGATAAATCCTTTTTGTCATATCCTGGTTACTCTCAATTATTAGTTTAATTTAAATATTATAACATACTGAAGCCCTTCTCTCAATGAACGCTGAGCCTCAGTTGCCTTCCTCGTCGACCTGAACTGGTATTCCCAAAGGTTTTTTGTTGTTATTGTTGTTTGTGTTTTTGTTGTTGTTGTTTTGTTTTGTCTATTGACAGGTCAAACTTTTTTCCATTGTCGTGGACTTTGTCTGATGGCCTTGTAGAATCTGGAATCCATGCTCTATGAAGTCTCACTCACTTATCTCATAAGCTGTGTGGTCTCACAAATAATGATGGTGAATTTTCTTCTGAGGTCTTAAGATTTAAAAGCTAGTGTTATGAAACTCAGGAGGACTAGGCAATATGTTTAAATACAGTTGTTATTAAAATACGGTAGTGGAGAACTCAGCAGAACATGGCATCTCTAAAATAATAAGTGTATCAGTTTTGTCCCCTTCAGTCTTTTTAGTGTTTTTGGAAGACACATAATGACTTCTTGTTTCTTTTAAAGATAGGAGTCCAAGTTTGAGGAATGTCATTTGGGGATGGGGACCTTTTTTTTTTTTTTTTTTTTTTTTAGGCTTTCTTATTTTTGAAACTTAAAACATTATGTTAAAACCTGTCACTTTCATTTTCCAGGACAGCCACATTCCGGGTTACTACAGTCAGGGCTCATCAGCTGCTATGTGACCTATCTCACTTTCTCGGCTCTGTCCAGCAAGCCTGTAGAAGTAGGTAAGCCAGCTTCTTAGGAGAAGTGTGCTTGTGGTATGAATATTTTCATTGTGGAGGAAGGACTATGACTCTATTGTGCTGCTGTTGAGAATGTCAAAGATGTGATAAATTGAAATAGATGATCTAGATTTTTCGCTAAAGTCCTTAATGTGGGATACCAAAATGAAAATTTCTTCTTCTGAGTCTTCCCACTATGTAACAAAAACAGGAGCAATCATGGGCTGTTGAGTTTGCTTTGGGGCCTAATCTGCATTTTCCTGCTCTGCATTTTCAAGAAACATTACTGTTTTGCTTATTTTATGTTGTCTTTTTTGTTGGTTATTAATTTACATTTCTTCAGGTGGTCATCTCTTTGTAAGACAGAGTGGGAAGAGCGTGGGAGTGGGAAGCAGGAAACAGGATTTGAACCCAGCTCTTATCATTTGTTGACTGTGTGACCTTGAATTACTCATCTTAAATAATCTTTATGTATAGAGACAACAGAACATGCATGAGCTTGGGAGTTAGACCGCTGGGGTTTATAGCCTGGTTCTACCACTTTAGTAACTAAAAGTAGAAGGTTATTTACCTCTCTCTGCCTAGATACCTTGTCTTTAAAATAAAATGTGCTATCTTTTCTCTAGAATGAAAAATTGAAGTTAGTTTTCCTTTTTTTATTTTATTTTTATTTTTATTTTTTTTATTTTTTTTAAGATTTTATTTATCCATGAGAGATACAGAGGCAGAGGCAGAGGGAGAAGCAGGCTCCATGCAGGGAGCCTGATGTGGGACTCAGTCCTGGGACCCCAGGATCATGCCCTGGGCCAAAGTCGGCGCTAAACCGCTGAGCCACCGGGGCTGCCCTGTTTTCCTTTTTTTAAATGTAGAAAGTAAATGCAAAGATAATTTTGAAAGTTTTATATGCATGTACTGTGTACGAGTCTTGTCTTTAGAGCTATTTATAGTGCAAAGTGATACAGTTGTAGGTCTTAAGTACAGTCTATCCTGGATTTAATTTTTTTAAATAGTTCTATCTTGAGTAAGTTTATTTAAGTCTAGTTTCTTTAAGACTTTCATTTATGACTTAATTTTTGGTTTTAACATGAGGTTTTTGGTTAGAGTATTTTTCTCTTAAATGGCAGGTATCACTTAAAAGCAGAAAACTTACTTTTAATTTCAGGTGGTACTACTTAAATAGAAAAGTTCATATTTTGGTCAGTTAAAAAAAACTTTTCATTGGCCTAAGAATAAAGATTCCTTACACCACCACACACACAGTTATTTTTGATGTCACAAATGTGAGTCTAGCTGCTAATACATAGAGTGTGTATGTTTGTAAAATGGTTTGTTTGTTTGTTTGTTTATTTAAAGAGGGGGAAAAGGGGAGAGGGAGAAAGAGAAGGAGAAGGAGAGGGAGAGAGAGTATCCCAAGCAGGCTCCTGCCCCGTGTGGAGCTCGGTATAGGGCTTGATCTCACAATCTGAAGATCATGACCTGAGGTGAAAATCAAGAGTTGGGTGTTTAACCAGCTGAGCCACCCAGATACCTTGCCTCTCAAAATTTTTAAGAAATCCAGGAAACATTAGAATATTCCCAGGTCACACGCTATTTTTAAAAAATTTTTTAAAAGATTTTATTTATTTATACATGAGAGACACAGAGAGAGATGCAGAGACATAGACAGAGGGAGAAGCAGGCTCCATGCAGGGAGCCTGATGTGAGACTCGATCCCGGGTCTCCAGGATCACACCCTGGGCTGCTGAGCCACCTGGGCTGCCCTAAACTTTTTTTTTTTTTAAGAGATTTTATTTTTAAGTAATCTCTACACCCAACATGGAGCTTGAACTCGTAACACTGAGATCAAGAGTTGCACGCTCCTCTGACTGAGTCAGTCAGGTGCCCCAGGATGTGTTTGTGTTTAGCACTTGTTTTTATTTTTATTTTTTCTTAAAGTAGGATCCATGCCCAACGTGGGGCTTGAACTCATGATCCTGAGATCAAGAGTCACATGTTCTACTGACTGCGCCAGCCAGGTGACCCACATACACTATTTTTTACCCCACCTTTGCACAGATAATTTTATTCTCTCCTGTGGGTGTCAGCAGTGTTCATAGACTATAATTTGAAACACTAAGAAAGCACATACGTGAGTGAATATTGTCACATTTCTTTACATCATGATTGAGTAACTATTAACCAGTTATGTCTATTAAATACAGTGAGCAAAAAATGACGTTTATACTGTTCCTTTGTAAACAAGGCTCTTGCGCACAATAGTAACACATGGAATTAATGCATACCACGGTATTCTTGAGGAAAGAACTTCTCTTTAAATAAACTCTTGTTTATTTTTTTTAAAAGAACTGTAGATTTAGCACATTTACAAACCTGATCAATAAAAAGAAACAAGATGTATGTGTGTATTTATATTTATATATTTAAAGAAAATGTAGAGGGGCGCCTGGCTGGCTCAGTTGGTAGAGCATGCAACTCTTGATCTCAGGGTTGTGAATTTAAGCCCTGTGCTGGGTACAGAAATTACTTAAAAATGAAATCTTAAAAAAGAAAGAAAATGTAGAGAAGGGACCATGATGGGAGACCTTTCCTGGAAAAGGAGGTAAGAAGTAAGCAAAGGATGATAGAATCATGACCATCCTATTACTGACTTCGTGTGGCTTTTGACAAGGTGGCTGTTGTGCAGCTAATACATATTTGGTTCTGAATAGCTTCTACACACTTCCAGAGAGGATCAACATGGTGGGAACTCAAGAATGTCTACATGCTACTTCTGTTCAGAGTTTGCTAAGTCAACTGAAAAATGGATCTAGTTTTACTTCTTACTGTTTGAATAGTACTGAAAAGAGCAAGACTGTCACTACATTAGGACACAGAGGAACCCTTTGGCGCTCAGCTGGAATCTGAGGGTCTTGTTCTAGGAGGCTGCCTAGGTGGGAGGGGGTGCTTTGAAATCACAACACTCTAGTCTGAGTCGAACGAGACTGTGGAGTAGAAGTTTCCAGCAATAAGCCTTCGCTCTTCTAAGCTACCCACATTTTCCCAGAGTGAATGTGTCTGTGAACTACAACAGGCTTTTCTAATTAACTTTGATTACTTTGTTTTTTCCTCGCAAGCTCTGGATGAGCATGGGAAGAATGTTACAATCTGTGTGCCAGACTTTGGTCAGGACCTGTACAGAGATGAAAACTTGGTTACTGGACTGGGTACCACTCTCTTGTTCGTGTGCATCTTGTATTCATGGTAAGTCTTAGACACTTGAGGCCATCTTTGCAAACTCTAAAAGCACGGAGAAGAATTTAAGTGAGCTTTAGCAACTGCGAGGCTGCACAACAAATCCCGTCCGAGGATGAGGGAAAATAGCTTAAAGTAAAAAGTTTGCATTACAGAGTGGAACCTCAGTGTTTGGGCTTCATTTTCCTTACTTCTATTTATATGGGTAAATATAATAGATATAGAGTACGTTGCAACCCTTGAGAAAACGGTTGAATATTAGTTGTTAAAGTATTATTGGAGGGCCAGGGAATACAAAGTAGGGAAGAAATGGTATGTGCCAGAGGTTTTGGCAGCTTTCTAATCCAAGGGAAATACCATTTGTTCTGCTGATGGAAAGAGTACAAAGCTCTACATATATGGTCATTTTGTGCTTGGCCCAAGAAAGACAGGAAACGTCTCTTTTCTTTTATGCTGAAACCCACAGTGCCATTAAAGCAGGCGGTGTTTCACATGCTCGTGGTGGGTTTGTGCCACCTTCATGTAGAATGTTCAAAAGATGGCCCCGGGGAGGAACGTAACCCATAGAAACAGCTTAGTTCCTGATGCTGAGTACATAATTCACTGATAATTAGGCTTCCCTTTGGCAGTGATCTTCTCATGTGTGGGGTTTACTTCTGTGTTTTATGTTTTGTTACGTTTCAACATATAAAAATTTCATCCTGTCGAAGACACACGGTCATCTTCCTCTGGCTGAAACTGAGGAATCCTGGTGGTGCTACCTTATATAAGTAAAATGTCTTTGTGTACACACGTGGGTGTTTTCTCTTACAGCTCTAAAACTCCCTACTGTTAGAAAGGAACCTGAAGGCAGACATTTTGGAGACACAGGAACTGAATTTTTAGAATATTTGTTCAGTCACGTGGTAGGCCATGAAACGCTTGCTCGTGTTGCAGGTGGCTGTTCCAGTGAAGATTCTATCACACTGATTCTCCTCCTGTCCCTGGCGTAGCCACAGATTCTGCTTGTAGCAGAAAGGCCCACGGTGACCATGTCTGGCCTTTCATTTTTATTGATTCCATAGTTGTTTGCTGTGTACCTGCTGTATCCAAAGCGGTGGTGGATGGGATTCGGGCCTGAGTCAGTGAATGCTGATGTAAAGCCACCCAAATTTCGAATGCTGATTCTCACGTCTTTTTCTGAGTAAGCTTTTTCTTCCTGAATCTGTTTTTATTGGGCTTTGGGGGAGAAATGGCAGCAGCACGGCTAATTTCATCATTTATCCCTCAGGTTTTTTTCTGTATTGGCATGTCATAAATATTGGCAAATTATGTGAGGAGACAGTAGATGACTAAATTGTAACGATAGAATATTCCCATTTAAAAATAAAATATAGGGGTGCCTGGGTAGTTCAGTTGGTAAAGCATCTGCCTTCGGCTCCGATCGTGGTGATCTCGGGGTCCCCCTCTGCCCCTCCCCATGCTCATATTCTCTCTCTAATAAATAAATAAAATATTTAAAAAACATGACAAAAATAAAATATAGTTGTGTTTACATATATAGAAAAAAATCACCATACCTGTAATAGTGGTGTTTATAGGGATAACTTTTTTCTGTTGTGTTTGTTTATAGTAAGGTCGCATTTCTCCTATTTTTGTATTACTTAAAAAAACAAAAACAAAAAAAAAACTATAAAGATATTTGACAGAATAAAATTGTGTGTTTTTGCAGATTACTGAATGCCTAATCACACATGTGTTTGCTGCTTAGGTAAAATAGGGCTTAGATTTGCTATAAATCCGTTAATGGAAAGATGGCAACAATTCTACTTAGTGTTGATAGAACTGCCACATGGTATTATTTTGCAGCGTGGGATTTTCACCCTGTCAAGAATTTCCCTGCTACTCTGGAGTGAGAGTTAATAAATAAAACCTCACCTCTTTTGAAATTTTAGAGGCTCCCCAGTGGAGGCTGATATAACTGGTTTGATATTTGCAAAAGATAATAATTTTCAGAGCTGACCGCAGCTATTTAAAATCTGTGTAAATGCCAAAGCAAACATTACTGAATATTAGTAATTAAACTGCAATACAGTGGTGCCTGATGGAAAGAGGAGGCGGAAAGCAGCATCCACGCAAGGGGGGCGCTGGAGTAACCAGGTGGCCCCGGGAGCTTGCGTGATACAGGACATCAGTGAAGCGCCAGGCTGGAGGGCTGGGAGATAAGTGCTGTAATGATGTGCTGCAGCGCCAGGAGGAGTCAGCTTTCAGGACCTGGTAACCAAACGTCTTGGAGCCAGGGAAGGGAGTTCAGGTCCAGTAGGGCCTGGAGATAAGGGATGCTACTGGGAGGGGGAGGCATCTCAGTTAGGTTTTCAAACCTTGACTCCCTAGGGGTGGTGTTCCTTGCCAGACTCAAGATTGAAAGGCTGGAAGATGTCATAAAAAGAGTCTACATTGAGTGGAAACTGTCATTTAAAAATGACTACATGGCTATCTAGAATCCCTTTTTTAAAAAAGATTTTATTTATCCCCGAGAGACACAGAGAGAGAGGCAGAGACACAGGCAAGAGGAGAAGTAGGCTCCATGCAGGGAGCCCGATGCGAGACTTGATCCCAGGACCCCAGGATCACCACCTGAGCTGAAGGCAGCTGCTCAACCACTGAGCCACCCAGGTGTCCCCCTCCCCCTGTTTGAGGTTTAATTAAAGTGAGCATGAGTGGGGGGAGGGCGGCAGCAGAGGGAGAGGGAGAAGCAGTCTCCCTGATGAGCAGGGAGTCCAACGCAATGTGGTCCCATACCAGGACCCTGGGATCATGACTTGACCCACAGGCAGATGCTTATTAACCCACTGAGCCGTCTGGGCACCTGTCCCTTTTTTTTTTTTTTTAAGATTTTATTTATTTATTCATGAGAGAGAGAGACAGAGAGGCAGAGACTCAGGCAGAGGGAGAAACAGGTTCCATGCAGGGAGCCCGACGTGGGACTGGATCCCAGGTCTCCAGGATCAAACCCCGGGCTGAAGGCGGTACTAAACCGCTGAGTCACCCATGCATCTCCCCCCCCCCCCATCCTTTTTTTAAAAGGTTTTATTTTTAAGTAATCTCTACACCCAGTATGGGGCTCAAACTCACGTCCCCCAGATAAAGAGTTGCATGCTCTCCTGACTGATCAGCTGAGTGCCCCAGGAATCTAGAGTCCTTGGTAGAGATTGTAGGAAGCCTCAAGATGCACAGTATGAGCTTCACACATTTTCACTGTAAGTCCCAAGATTGCTTGGGATTGGGGTTAATTTTTTGGTAAGGTACTAGAAGGCTTATTGCACTACCTCCTCACCTAACCAGGAGCCAGCTGGGCCTACCCTCCCTGCCCCAACACATACTTGTTTAGGGTGCCCTCATGCTGCCCTCTACACTCAGTTTCTTGTTCTCTGTCCCGGGTCCTACGTTTGGGGCACTCACTCTGAGTATGTTTTGTTTTTGGTGTCGTAGTTTGAAGGAAGGGCTCAAACGTAACCTTTCCAACTGAGGCTCCTCTTTCTCCAGACGCCCCTTCTGTTGTACTCAGGTATTATTGCTGTGAAGAAGTGTCACAGCTTGGACTCCATGCATAGGTTCCCCACTGGCTCTTTGTATAGGTCCATCCCTCCTGAGACTCCCTAAAGCCTGGTCTTTGGATAGGCCCACCCTCTGACACCCCTTTAGTCGCAGCCTCCACAAATTATTCCTTAATTCCTTCCTTGGTCTCTAGATTTTGGCTGAAATTGTTATTTTGTTGGCTTCAAGTCCACACTGTCTAGTGAGGCAGGATCCTGGAGTTAATCAGCTGAAGTTCCCTTGTCATACATAAAAGGGAAACTAAGAGGCAGAGAGCCTGTTTTTGTGATTCCCCCTGCCCCCAATCTCAAGAACCCTCTCCTTGGGCTTTCCTTGCTAGAGTACTGGGAGAGGCAGGTTCATAATCATTTTCCCCCCTGGGATTGTTGGGAGTAAGGTCCTTTGGTGAGGTACAAGGATAAGCTGGATGACTTGCCTCATTATTAGGAAGTATTTGTGCTATAAAATGGTCCTGGCTATTTTGGTTTTAACTGTGCCTATGAGGAAAATACTATTTAAATGATTAGGAACTTGGGTATAAAATTGGAAAACCTGAGAATCTTTATTAAATGTCAAATAACTTGCTAATTTGAAATGAAATATTCATGGAATAGGGCAGACCGTGTGGAACTAAGTACAAGGCTGGTAGCCAGAAAACTTTTTATTTTTATTTTTTTTAAACTTTTTTTTTTTTTTTAAGATTTTGTTTATTTATTCATGAGAGACACAGAGAGAGAGGGGCAGAGACACAGGCAGAGGGAGAAACAGGCTCCATGCAGGGAACCCGATGTGGGACTCAATCCCAGGTCTCCAGGATCACGCCCTGGACAGAAGGCAGGCGCTAAACCTCTGAGCCACCCAGGGATCCCCCGCCAGAAAACTTTTAAACTGGGAGTTGGGAGTTGGCAAATCAAGGTATCTGGGGTTTTTTTGTGTCTTCTTTGTCTGCTACCTTTATTTGAGAAAGGTGGACAAGTTAAAGTAAATGGAGGAGTATACAAGCTTTGGGAGTCCTGCCACTCCCTCACCTATGAGCTAGAAGTTTTCATGGCTCTGCTTTGGAGGGTGTGTCAAGGCCTCCCCCCAGTTCATATGACTGTGGTCTCCCTTGGGAGCTATGAGTCACAAGTTACACTGTGCTTGGGAGCATAATTGAACTTCAGACAAAGGGTGGGAATAGTCATGAGATCTCCCAAGGGCCCTGGGAGGGAGCAGAATCCGTCTCCAAGAGGAATGTCTGTACGTGTTCCCTAGAGATTTTCTTTGATCTAGGGGAGTTTGGCCAGTTCCCAAAACAGCTGAAGCAGGTGTGGAGGGCCACCTGCATTTTGAATCATTCTGCCAATATGGAAGAGGCCCTGGGCATGGCAGTGATGGAGGGGAAGCATTTTTTTGTTTGTCACAGTAACAACCAGCCACTGCCGGCTTCTTTGGAGCGGGGAGTAGAGATAGTAAACAGGCTATGACTTGTCTATAGGGTGACGCCCCAACCAAATGCCATCAGTCTTCCTTCAATGCCCTACAAGAAGCAGTGGGTGAAAGTTGCTTGCACTTTAGCTCTGGAAAGCACTCTAGTTCTGCGTAATCCAGGAATTGTTGAGCAACATGTCTTGCACTCACCAAACAGATGAGTCTGAGTAATAGAATGTGGACAAGAATTTCCTAGGCTTTTAAGGAGTCTGGAAAAACAATGTTTCCTTGGTAATTCCAAGAAGAGTATTTTGTGGGCAAAGGCCATGACCGAATTATAACCATGTTTTATAGTAGCATGTACTTCTAGAAGTCCTCTTTCATTAATGATGAATTGAATACAAAAATATATGTATTTTTAAATTAAATCCAATTAATTAACATATAGTGTATTATTAGTTTTAGAGGTAGAGTTCAATGATTCATCAGCTGCATGTAATACCCAGTGCTCATTACATCCAGGCCTCCCTCAGTGCCCATCTCCCAACCCCCTGCCGCTCCATCAATCCTCAGTTTCCTGTGATTAAGTCTCTTATGGTTTGTCTCCCTTTCTGATTTCGTCGCGTTTTATTTTTCCCTCCCTTTCCCTATGATCCTGTCTTGTTTGTTAAATTCCACAAATGAGTGAGATCATATAGTTACCTTTTTCTGATTGACTTACTTTGCTTAGCATATTACCCTCTAGCTCCGCCCTCATAGTTGCAAATGGCAAGATCCCCTTCTTTTTGATGGTTGAGTAATTGAATACAGGTGTTTAGAAATCAGAACAAAAGCTTCCCCATTTCATGCTCTGATGATGGAAGTAAAGTGGCAGTGGCCAGAATCAAAAGCTTTTTTCTTGAAACCATTTTATTCCAAAGAATTTACAAAAGTACAGTATTTATTCTAACTCTTTTAAATAAGGAATATCATCTTTCAGGTAAAAATTGCAGATAATCTCTAAAAGAAGTTACACTTTCCTCCACAGATACGATACAGCATATTTTTATTTTATTTTAAAGATTTTATTTATTTATTCATGAGAGACACACAGAGAGAGGCAGAGACACAGGCAGAGGGAGAAGCAGGCTCCCTGCAGTGAGCCCGATGTGGGACCCCATCTCAGGACCCCAGGATCCCGCCCTGAGCCCTCCAGGCATCCCAGTACAGCATATTAAATCACATGCAGAAAATTCACATGCAGAAAATACAGCATGCGCTTACATGGAGGAGCAAAGTGTGTGTGTTTGGGAAGTAGCTCTAAAATTCCTCTGATGGGGCTCCAAGTCAGGAAGCGAGGGTGCTTGGGCCTCAGTCAGCATCCATCTGTTCAGAGCAGAAATGAAAGTGACGCTATTGGCCTGGAGTGGCCCACAAAAGAAGCAGTGCACTTGGATCCCAGAGGACCTTTTTGTGAGGAAGGCTTTTTATTGTTTATTTGCATTTTATTGATCTCTCCTCCTCCAGAAAGAGGATGAGAATAAGCGGAGAAGACTGGGTCGCCTCATGGGGTTTTTTTTGGTTGAAATGAATCTGCTAATTCCTGCTTCTCCAGTGGCCACACCCCCGCCTCCAGGCTGGCACTTAGGATGCTAGAGGATGGGGATTGTCCTGTTTTTCACTGAGTGCCCCAGGGCTTACAACAGGGCCTTGACACATGGCAGGCCTTCAGTAAATATTTGCTAAATGAATTTATAGGGTTAGCTGGAACCCTGAGTATTGTATATATTTGTTTGCTTAAAATGTTCCCCTTTTTCCCCCCCTAGAGGAAATACCTTTTTTACCCCCCTGTAAGCCAGATTTTATAATATTTTACCTCTCTGGGTATAAGGAGAATGGTGGGAAGAATTTTTTTTTCTAATCACACTGACAGCTACTCTTGAATTTCCAAACAGAAAACTTTGTTCTGCCAAAAGCTGATAACCATAGTAAATAATTGTGGCCTTTGTTTTTCATGTCCTTGCTTTTTTTTTTTTTTTTTTTTTAATGCTATCTCTGGGTTCTTCTGTTGGTTTTGATTCCTTCTAAGTGAGACTCCTCAAAAGTTGGGGAAAAATAAAAGGGAAATCAGAAAATCCTTTCGGCCTGGTGTTTGAGGGAGGAGAGGTAAAAACCAAGATAATAAGACCAAATATATCTTGCTTCTTTATCAACAAACTTCTCTTTGCTTAAAATGATCTAATGCAATCCACAGAAAAAGACATCAACTATAGAATTGGTCAATTTTGGAATTAAGTGGGATATTGACAGACTACTTTTAAGGAACCAGAACTGGAGTGAGCCTCCCATTAGAGCACTGGCTAAGCGTCCCTTCCTTTCCTTTGATAGGATGTAACGTGTGTGTTTATTTCTTAGCTTGACATCGACGACAAGGTCAAGTTCTGATGCTCTGCAAGGGCGATACGCAGCTCCTGAACTGGAAGTAAGTTCATTTCCTTCTCTTACTCTGCTTCATCTCTGAAGACCTATTTATATTTCAGGAAGGTTCTTTATGTGTGTTGCATCTTTATGGAGCTGCATTCCATGATACTGTTTTTCTCCTCAGGAAAAGAATACAATTTTTATGCAGAAAAAAACAATGTCCCAAGTATCTACAAGATACGATGGGATTAAAATTAATCTTTGCTTTTCCTCCAGCAACATTAGCCTCTAGTGTGGCATTGCTGCCCATCTTCCACCAGAGGCCTGGGTAGCTTTGTCAGGCTGCTGACTGCTCTTTTCTTCTGTCATAATGGAATGTGTGTGTGGGGGTGGGTAGGTGTTTTAACTTCTAGTCCATTCTTCTGTGTCCTTCATATATAGCATGACCATGAGGTTATGTGTAATCGCTGAGCTGCAGAAGGAAAGGATGGACAAGGGAAGGAACAAGCATCGGCTCCATGCCACACCACTGAGTGTTGTCTATATATTAGCTTGCTTGCTTACTTATTTAGAAATTATTTATTTATTTGAGAGAGAGCAGAGTGAGGGAGAGAGAGAGAATGAGCAGGGGTAAGGGGCAGAGGGAGAAGCAGACTCCCCGCTAAGCAGGGACTCCCGGACGTGGGACTCGATCCCAGGACACTGTGATCATGACCTGAGCTGGAGGCAGATGCTTAACCAACTAAGCCACCCAGGCGCCCCTACACATTAGCTTATCTAAGTGCATCAGTACCGTCAGGTGGGCACTTCACTGGGTGAAGAATTGGGAACAGGAGGTGTTCAGAGAATCAGAGTGGTAAGCAGATGCCTATCGGTCAGCAGGATGTCTGTGATTTCCTTACTTGTGCAAGTCTTCTGCTGGGGCCCTCGGTGGGACATCCACCGAGGTCAGGCAAGGTCTAGTCACATGGAGGCAGCCAGGAAAAGACTGAGCCCTGACCCCAAGAACGGAAGGAACAGGAGATTCCAGTGATGACTGAGACTTAGAGCACTTGCCACATGCCAGGCACTGTTCAAAGCACTATTTTTGTGATTTCATTTCATCCTCATTAAAACCCAGTAAGGGTTTTATCTCTGTTTTACAAGGAGGGAGACAGAAAAGTTAGTGACGCTTCTGATTTGCTGGCATATGGACTGTGCACTCTGGCTCCAGAGTCCGTGTGGCCCGAGCGCTGCTGTCCGAGAGCTGAGCTGCTGGCTCCTGGCCCTGCTGCGCACCCGGCCTGGCCCCCGGCCCCAGGCCCCATCCTCCAGCTCTCCCTGTGTCTGTCCAGATATGGGCACCCTTCTCTGCAGCTGGGTCTCTGGGCATGGCCTTTCCTGCACCTGAACTGGAGATGGTGATGGCTATGAAGGGTTGTCAGTCTGCCAGCAGCATTCAACAGCTCTTCTGTCACTTAAAAAAGGAAGAAAGCTCTACTGAGGCTGAATAGGTTTACTGCCTCGCACACAGAAGAGGGGCTCTAGAAGGCAGGCGTTTGTTCTCCCCACCGCGGGTAGCCACCTGCTGAGGCCGTGTGCCATGGCTTCAGTATCCCTATTGTGTCGAGTGCAGGCTCAAAGAACAGCAAGTCTCTAAGTTAGATTTGAGAGGATGTTTTCCTTCTCATTCTAAGGAAAATGTCCCAATGTTTCCTTCTGAACTGGAGAGCATGTAAAACGGAAGTTGGTTTGCTCTCCTCGCATCAGGTTTCACAGGCTATACCTTTGAAAGAGTTAGTAGTTTCTTATGCTAAGTTAGGCTTTAGAGGAACGAAGACCCCAGGATACGGTGTCTTGAACCCACTGAATGGTTAGTGAGTCTTGGACTGTGTCACTTGGTCCAAGATCTGCCAAGGCCATTCCCTGTGTTACTAGTTTCCCTGATGTAGTAGGCAGACGGGCGTGGCCTTGAGGTGTGCAAGTGGGATGAAGGCTTGAGCTCCTCTATCCTTGTCCCCAGTTCTGTGTACTTTCTGCTAAAAATACTGTCAGCCAGAAAGTGCCAAGGACCCAGTACTCCGCAGCTGGTCTTGCTACGTGTAATGTTTCTTACTCTGTTGACCAGAGCCCTTCTGGAGTTATGTATTAATTTTTCATAATCCAATTTTTATTAGAAGATTTATTTATTTATTTATTCATGAGAGGCACACAGAGAGAGGCAGAGACACAGGCAGAGGGAGAAGCAGGCTCCCTGCGGGGAGTCTGACGTGGGACTCGATCCCAGGACCTCGGGGTTATGACCTGATCCAAAGGCAAATGCTCAACTGCTGAGCCACCCAGGCGTCCCTAGTTAATTGTTTTGAGTAGATCAGAAACATGGTACAGAATTAAAAACTGTCAAAGACTCTTCAGAGGAAAGGATCCCATCTATCTATCCCAGACCCCACCACCCCTGCCTCCATAGAGGCAGACAGTTCGGCAGCCTGATGTTATAGGAAATGTAGGTGGGCCACCTGCTTCCAGAGCCCTTAGCTTTACCGTTTCTGATTCTGCTAGCTCCACTGTCTCCTAGACATCACGTGCTACCTATTGCTGCTTGTGAATCGTGGACCTTGGAGTTCCCATCCTGCGTGTTTTTTAAAAGGTTTTATTTATTTGACAGAGAGAGAGGGAGCACAGCAGGGGGAGTGGCAGGGAGAGGGAGAAGGAGGCTCCCCGTGGAGCAGGGAGCCTGATGCAGAACTCGATCCCCGGACTCTGGGATCATGCCCTGAGCCCAAGGCAGATGCCTAACCCACTGAGCCACCCAGGCACCCCCTCTTCCCCCAACTCCTGTATTTATGTTCCAGCTCTGTCACTAAACTAGTTTTGCACTTCAGGCCAGTTATTTATCCTGCCTGCCCTCAGCTTTCTCAATCGCAAAGAGGATGATAATCCAGCAAGTAGAGCAAGTCATCACCCAGAATGAGCTTGTGAGAGTGAGGACCCGTCTCATTTCCCTTTTGTAATCAGGTTGTGTTTTCCAGAAGCAGCTGCCAAGGCAGAGTTGACTTGCGTGGTATCTATTAGGGAGAACACAGGTGGAGGGGAAGGAGGCAACTCTGGCCTGAGAGTGAAGTTGAAGGGTACCCTAGGCTGGGCGAAGCCGCTGTGGGTCCTTTCGGTGCTCCAGAGCAGTATGACCCATCAGAGCTGTCGCCAAGGGTCAGAGGCTGCGCCTTCATCCCCCTGCCGTGAGCAGTCCTTCAGTGTGGGTGGCCCAGGAAGGCTTGCTCTCCGGCAGGGCGCAGTGTGTGGGAGGGAAAGGCTGGGGGCCGCTCCCCACACTCCAAGTAGAACCTTGAAGGGGATCTCGGCGGCCCACGTCCCTGTCATAGCAGAGCACTTGGAAGGACAGATGCTTAGTGAAATCCTTTGGACCGAATAAGATGAGCGCAGTTCAGAGCCCTGCCTACAGTCACACGGCAAGGCTTGGCATGTCACATGGGTGGCCACTGGGGCTTGACTGACGTGGAGGTAGAAAAGCCACCTGACGTTGTTGGGTTTGCTCTTCCAGGTAGCCCGGTGTTGTTTTTGCTTTGGCCCGGATGGAGAGGGTAAGTAGAGAACTTGAATGGTAAGAGGAAATTTTTATTCCAAAGGTGGTTTATTGTTGACCTCCTTTTCACGCTCTTCCTGAATGATAGCTGGGTTTTATCTGTTCGTGTTGGCGGCCTGGCTGGCAAGAATCAGTTTCTGTTTTGGCCTATATGTAAGTCGAATTATACAGTGAGATTTAGAGAAGAACAAAGTACAGTTTTCTAAGGAATGAAAATTTAGAAAATTTCTTGCAACTTTCTTTTCTTGGAATGGAGCGTCCCAGGGGCTTGAGAATTTTTGGCATGCTCGCTCACTTCCCTCTGAGCTTACCCTAGGTTTTCTGTGTATAAGGGCTCTCTTCTGCTCTGTTCAAAGGAATGTGATGTTACATAATTCATCCTGTTGAGGACATTTCTGTGGTTGGGTGGGGGTTTTATGCTGAGAGTATAGATGAAGTTGTCCGAGAGTACAAATGGCTTTGGACATCTTTTCTACTCAACAGCTCCTGGGATTGTAATGAGTGAGTGTGGCTTTGCTAAAGTGGCAGGCGTGCATATGTTCACTCACAGGGCTTGTGTTCACTTTGTGCTTCACAGACACTGAGGAGCAGCAGAATGTGAAGGAAGGACCGCGGGTCATTTATGATGAGAAGAGAGGCACCGTCTATAGCTATTCCTATTTCCACTTTGTGTTCTTTTTGGCTTCCCTCTATGTGATGATGACCGTCACCAGCTGGTTCAAGTGAGTGGCTCATTGTCTTAGACGTTTTAGAGGGGACAGTCTTTAGAAAATCAAATTAAGTCCTATTCTTTAAGTGCTGAGACCCACTGGGTCGCGGATCCCCTCTCCTGGAGTCAGGAAACTCTTCTCCAAGTCCTGCTATGCTCACCTACACAGAAACAGTCCTGGGGTCTCAACAGTCTGTGGGCCTGCTTTTAACCCTGGCACTTGGTAGTGCTCACTTGCTTAATGCAACTTTAATAAAATGAAAGGTTGGGAGTGGGGGGTGGGGTGCTGGCTGGCTCAGTCAGTAGGGTATACGACCCTTGACCTTGGGGTTAATTTGAACTCCTCATTGGGTGTAAAGATTACTTAAAAATAAAGTCTTCTGGGAAACAAACAAAGGGTTGAGGAAGGGGAGGAGGGTGGTGGGTTGGGGTAACTGGGTGATGGGCACTGAGGAGGGCACTTGATGGGATGAGCACTGGGTGTTCTATTTGTTGGCAAATTGAATTTAAATAAAACATATTTAAAATAAAATCTTGGAAAAAAATAAAAGGTTAACTGCTTATGGGCGGTCTTGAGGAACATAGTATAAATAATGGAGGGAGAACTTGGAATTCTTAAGCAGTCATCTGCTTTTAAGAGAAAATACCTTTTTTTCTATTTTGCATTTTGTTTGCCTTTTTATTTTACACTTTTATTACAAAAGTTTAAGGTTTTGTTTATTTGAGAAAGAGAGAACACGAGCTGGTGGGGAGGGGCAGAAGGAGAAGCAGACTCCCTGCTGAGCAGGGAGCCCGATATGGGGCTCATTCCCAGGACCCAGGGATCCCGGGATCATGACCCGAGCTGAAGACAAATGCTTAAATGGCTGAGCCACCCAGGCACCCCTGAAACATCTTTTTTAAAAATAATGTGGCAATAGGGGTAAGTAGCCCCCCCGCCCCCACCCCAAACCCCACAGCTGGTGCTAATGTGGTGTGTAAAACTCCGAATACACACAGGATAGACATTTAGGCTCACTGTGCTTTGTTTTATCCATTCATGCAGCAACTATCTGAGGGGCTCCTGTGTGCCTCACTGCTGTAAATGGCAGACTTATAATCTAATGGAGGAGACAGACCATGATCCAAATAAAATACCCTGTGGCAGATTGCACTATTGGGGAGAAAGATGAGGAAGAGGAATGCGGAGTACCAGGTGGGGTTTGGAGATGGTGGAGATAGCAGAAGGCTTCACTGGGGAGATTTTTCCAGAATATGATTTTTCCCTTCTTCTAAGGGAGAAGAGAGGAGGGAGCTTCTAATGTATCCGTAATGGTTCTAATGCTTTGATGATTCCTGGAAAGTTTTGGTGTGGAAACCTTATAGGATGGAGGGAGCCATAATTAATAAGGCAGAAAATAACAGATGCTGTCGAGAATGTGGGAAAAATTAGAACCCTTTACAAAACCTTCTGCTAGGATTGTAAAATGGTGCAACCACTTTGGAAAAACATTTTGGCAATTCCTCAAAATGTTAAGCCACAGTTGTAGTATGATCTGGCTGTTCTAATCCTGGGTAAATACCCAACAGGGGCAAAAGTATGTACACACACAAGCTTCTACACACATTCATAGCAGCATCACTTACAACAGCCAAAAAGTAGAAACCACCCAAATGTCTATTAGCTGATGAATGGATAAACAAAATGTGCTGTCTCCACGCAATGGAATATTACTCAGCAATAAAAAGGAATCAACTATTGGGCCATGCAACAACATGGCCTTAAAAACCTAAATAAACCTTAAAAACCAGTCATACGAGGCCACATGATTCTATTCCTATGGAATGCCTAGAATAGGCAAATCCACAGAGATAGAAAGTAGATTAATGGATGCCACGCTCTGGGAGGAAGTGGGCAAATGGCGTGAGCTGTATCTGAATCGAGCTGTTGGGAAAAAACAAAACTAAGAGAGGCTGGAGGGGACCTTTTCCCCGCCTGTTCTCTTCCTGCTCTGACCACAGTTGGCTCTCGTTTCCACAGCTATGAAAGTGCCAACATTGAAACCTTCTTCAGTGGAAGCTGGTCCATCTTCTGGGTCAAGATGGCATCCTGCTGGATGTGTGTGCTGTTGTACCTGGGGACCCTGGTCGCTCCCCTCTGCTGTCCCTCTCGGCAGTTCTCCGTGTGACGGGGATCCGAGCAGGCCTGCAGCCTGGAAGTGATGTCCTTTGAGCAAGTGTCCCAGGGGTCCGAGCAGGGACTGGTGCTTTGTGAAAAGCTGTCATCCTGTGGCTGGTTTGAGTGGGTCTGAAAAAGGCTTTCAGGGGGGGAAAAATCACCTGATTAGCCTTTGAATTCGGAAAATCAAAAAGAAATAACCATGTCAACCCAAAAGAATTGAGATTTTTCAACCAAGCAGATCCTGAATGATGATATAGTTTGTGTTGTTGTATCTTGGCCCTAAAAACTGGAATAGAAATTAGCTAGTATTTTCCTCCTGTATGTTTTCACCAAAACAGAGTTTGAGGAATGACAGGGATAAATCTTACCTTGTCATTCTTATCCTTCAAATAGAAAAACTTGCCAAAATCTTGAGCCCTCAGCCCGGGGCGGAATGCAGACCCCTCTTACACACCTCGGCCAGGAGCCTCATCCCCAGCGGGCTCTGCAGATGGCACTTGTCCTGCACTCCTTGCTCATTTGGTATATTTATAGGGTACAAGAGGAAGCACCTGCTTTTAACTCCACCCTTGTGCTGTTTCCTCCTGGCCCCCACATATTTCCCTTTGGAGCTGTGGTGCTGGGAATCACAGCTTCACTCTTCTGTCCTGGCCCTTCCCAGAGGTTCCCCTCATCCTTCCCAGGCTCGAACATCTTTGCTATAATGTGAAAAAGCACAATTTACCATCACTACCATGTGGTCCCCCATTGTATTATTACTGCCCGATCCGAGTTACTGCAATAATTGTGACTCCTTTTGTGGTGTTATTCATGTGATTATAGAACAGTATTCATGTTGTCTTTGCCTGAGCGACGGAGGGCTATGGTTCTTCCTTGTTTGTGCTATTAATATTAATAACACTCTAGGACCTTACCCAAAAAGTCGCTTCTTCACGGAAGCCTGCTGCACCCTTCTTTTAGTTATAAAAGTCAGCCGGCGTCTCTACCACCTTGAGGCCTTTGAAATTGTAAAAGCAAAAGGGCTCTTGTTTCCTGGATCTGGAGTGTGGCCACAGCGTTCATATCCACGGTGGTGTGCTGGAGTGGATCAGCCGGGGGAGGAGCCCAGGCAGCACTTCACCCTGGGCTGACCAGATAAGGCCTATCGTACAAGTTGTAGAAGTGGCCAGATATACTTAGAAGAAACGGTGGGGGTGGGGGGGAGGGTATTTAATTAAGCCATAAACAACATCCATGGAGATTTCCAAAAGTATGTACTTGTAATAGGCATAAGAGATTTGTCTTGAGGCGGCTGCCCAAGAGATGACTGTGTTCAGTGGTGACATGTCCTCGGTCAGTGAAGAGTTTTCTCGGTGGAAAGTCTGTTAGAGACCCCAGTAGAGACCCACTGGGGATGCTCCTTTGAGGGTCTTCTGCAGGGTAGAAAGGGTCCTCTGGAGCTCACCGGCACAGGGGTCTGTGTGTGCCCTACTGAGCTGGGCAGCACTGGCTTCCCATGTGCCAAAATGCTGGTGTAGGGAATTAGTCAAATTCTTCATTTCTACTCCTTTGCCCCCCTCCCAGGAATATAAGCAGGGAAGTAAATTCCGGGGACATATTCCTCTAGAATCTTGCCTTATTTATAATGTTTGAGCTTCTGTTTTTATAGGCACTCGTGTATGGGCGAGAGCTTTGTTTTGTAACCTTTATTCAATTTCTTTTTTGAGGCCAAGAAGCTCTGAGCTTGGTGGTTGAAAGGTCCTCTGGTGTCACACAATGGATAGCCACCACGTGCGGCCCCCATTAAGCCAGTGGGACTGGGAACTCTTTGGTTCGGGGACAGAAGCTGCCTTAGTGGCTGTGCAGTGACGCAGGGCTCTGGGTAAGCTGGGATGGGCTTCAGGAAAGACCATGAGAAGAGTAGATCGAGAGCTGGGCTGCTGGCTTCCTAGTGTTTTCTTCCTGCTAGGCTCTGGCTGGTCTGGGCAGCCAGCTCTGTGACTTTAGAAGTGGCCCCCAGGGCAGGTCACACAGGCCAGCTGACAAGGCTCCTGTTCCTTGGGTGGCCTCTGTTGGCGGGCTTCCCCTGCAGAAAGCAGCTCAGGGAAACGGAAAGGAAAGGACGTTCATTGCCAGTGACAGGGCCCTCGGAGCTTCCTTCGGCTGGCCCAGCCGGCAGCTTAAAATTTGGTTTGTGTCCCAAAGTTCTTCTTGAAGTTTAGTCTGACTCAAGAGGAAGAGTTGTGGTTACTCTGATTTTTATTCTCAACTGAGAATTTAAGAAAATTTATCTGAATGACGAGGGAGAGGTGGATATACTCTAACAGCTGAGGGCATAGAAATAAGTTGACTCTAATGATTATTAATTGTAATGAACAATTCTCAGGTGATGAGTCCATGTTTGTGGGTTTAAAGAACCTACATTTTTGTGCTATTGTGATTTAAGAAACTGGAAAAATTGTGCCAATTGCTTTGAGTTGCTGTAATGATGGTGTTCATTTGATAAATTCACTGATCTCTTTTTAAAATAATTTTGCTTCCTACAACTTTTTGTACATGATTTTGAAAAAGTACATTCCCAGTAGCTGCTGGTCAGACTCCTTTAGCAACGCAAGTGCAAGAAGTTTTTAAAGAACTCTATGTGTATGTTTCTTCTGTGCTATTCCTTCAGTGTGGAAATGTGTTCCCTTCTTGTTTTCATGAATAAAAACACTAAGTGGGGGAAGGGATTCTTCTGGGAATGTTGCTGTAGACCTAGATGTGTCATCTGACTAGAGATTTGTCTGTCAAAAACTTTCAGAAACCCGAATTTGTCCTTACTGGGTTGAGTTTTTGTGATACTGGTTGGTTGGGTTTGCTTTTGTCCTCTTGGCTTCTTGGGAAATGGCTTGAAAGAATTGTTCCCCAGAGGTGTTGGGGGTTCTTTCGTGGAGTAGATGGACTGTGTGCATGTGGGCTGTTGGAAGGTGGGGTTACTAGAGATTTGGGGTTCTTGTGCCTATCAGGAATAGCCAATGGTTGGGTCCCCACACCTCATTTTCTATTTCCAGTTCCTCAGAGGATCCTTCATTCCGGATGACCTTTGTGTAGTGCTAATCCGCACCCCCGCCCCGTATCATCCCCCTCTGCCTATTTAAGATTGTATACTTATTTAATTTTAGCCAGAAGTTTATCATCATTGGTGCTTCATGTTACCCTGCAAAGGGAATTCCAGAGCCTGTGTTTAAGTCGCCTTGGCTTTATTCTCCTTTGACTGCCTTTCTAAGTAGCATTTCATTTTGGTGTACATTTGTGTTCTATTCCTCTTGGAAATGAGAGCAGTTTTAACCTGTAACCAAGAAGGATGTGACCTTGGGCTAAGACCCTCCCTGTCTGGAGAGATCCCTGGGTCCTCCTTAATCAGGGACAGTGCAGTAGTCACTCAGCTCGTGGAATTCTTTGTAGGATACTCTCCTAATCGAAGTAATAACTCCCTCTGCTTTGTTCTTAAGGCCACCGTGTTTCCCACCATCTTTAAGATGCGTGTAAAGCCTTACACACTCAGCCAGTGCTGCATTTCCGGCCGAGCTGGGCTCTCTCATGCTGGACCTGCCTTCCAGAGCTAGAGAGCCACTTATACACATCCTTCAAACTAATGCTGGTCACTCTAAGGATCTTTATCTTTTTAAGATTTTCTTCCTCAGTAAATCACTTACAGAGGCATTCATTTTGAAAGGGGGGAAATATTTGGCTTTTACCAGAGAAGGTATTTTGTTTCTGTTTAAGCAAAATGCCCTCGGAAGAACTTAATTGGGTAAGGTAGATAAAAAATGTGTATGTCCATATCCACTTCTGTAGGAGTTTAATCATAGTTATGTGAGTAAAATGATGAACAACTCTTTAAGGTAATCCTCTGGGTGAAGGATCCTGGGAAATTCTCTCAGGTAAAGAAAGTTTGCAACAGATGTATAATATATGTCTTGAGAGTTATTTATGAGAAATTTAAGAGGATTGTTTTGCTTTTCTATATTAAAGATTTAAGGTTTTTTGTTTTTTTTACTTTGCAAAAAAACACAAATTCTACAAAAGTTTTATAATTGTAACATTGTTAATTCTTAGAACTTTTTCGAAACAATTACCTGTAGCCAAATTATGTGGTTATGTTTTGCTCTGCTAGGATTTGAAATGTAATATGTGTGGTAAATTTACTGTTTGAAATTTATAATAGTCTTGGATATGGTTAGAGTTTTGGTAACTTTTTAAAAAATTGTTCCTTCTTCTAGTCACAAAGGCAACTGTGGGTTTATATTTGTTTTTTGAATGCTAATTTTTCTATGAAGCGTCTGAAGTTGACCAGTCTTTTCCTATGTAGAAAACTCAAACTTGTTAACTCTGTACTTTAATAAAATTTAAAATGGAAAACTTCGTTGCTGCTGTTGTTGCTGCTGCTGTTTTCATTTTTTGGGTTTTTTTTTTTTTTTGTTTTTGTTTTTGTTTTTTTTGTAATTTAAAGTCCTCCTGGTAGTGTTTTCCGAAGATTGGTTGCCTTCAGATGTTAATCATTTTTCTCTCAAGCTCATAAAATCTTTTCTGATACTTGAGAATGAAAATATAAACATGAAAACTCAACTCTTGTTTCCTTCACCTCTGAAAGCTTCTGTGAACTGCTTCCTTTTTCTGATTCTTCAGCTACTGTTACACTATCTTAAATATGAGAAATAGAGTAGGTCTCTAAGGAAAGTAGTAGAAGTCTTCCAAAGATTTGGCTTTCCTAGACCTTTTAGATTTTCCTTGAAAATGTAGGTTTGAGTGGGATGGCATTGTGTCATTAGACCAATTTGGGAAGAATGGACATTATAACATTAAGTCCTCTGATCTAGGGTTATTTTTCATTCATGTCGGTTTTTAAAATTTTCTTTAGTAGCCTGCTATAGTATTTCTACTTTTATTTTTTTTTTAATTTTTATTTATTTATGATAGTCACAGAGAGAGAGAGAGGCAGAGACACAGGCAGAGGGAGAAGCAGGCTCCATGCACCGGGAGCCCGATGTGGGATTCGATCCCAGGTCTCCAGGATTGTGCCCTGGGCCAAAGGCAGGCGCCAAACCGCTGCGCCACCCAGGGATCCCGTATTTCTACTTTTATTAAAATATCTTTGAAATTTAATCTTGATTCTTCTAGTCCTTTTATTATTAAACATCCAGTTTCCTGAATGTTTAAATTATGCATATCACATAATGTAAAATTGACATCTTAGCCATTTCAAAGAGTACGGTCAGTGGTGTTAAGGAAACTCCTGCTGTTGTGCAACCAAGCTGCAGAGCTCTGCTCATCTTGCAAAGCTGAAGCTCTGTACCCATTAGACCGCAACTTCCCACCAGCCTCCGAACACCACTATTCTACTTTCTGTCTCTGTGAATTTAACATTTGCTTTGTTTTGACCCTTTTGCTTCTTCCCACATAGATGCCGATCCTGTTCAGGTCTTCTGGCTCACTTGTACTTTGGGGTTCACAACCCACTTTTTGTTGCAATGTTGTCCATGTGGTTTTGGTTGTGCTAATTGTTCTGCTTTTATGGGGGGAATTCAGGAATATCTAAAATCTCTGCTTCTGTCATTGCCATCATTTCTTCCATTCACTCTTAAATTGAACCCATTGCACCGTGGCTTTACACACACCTTTTCCCTGAAACTGCTTTTTCAAGTGATTGATAACTTCCGCATTGCAGAATCTGTTGTTCTCATCTTACTTGGTTTATCAGAAGCACTTGAAAGTATTAACTAAATTACCTTCTTCACATTTGACTGGTATTTATACACATCCCATGTTTTGAAAGGAATTGTCTGGTATAGTTTCCTTGTCCCTGTTTCCATTGTACTTAAGATCAGAAAAGGCAGATAACTTCTCAGTTCCCAAGTCTCTGCACTCACAGATCCACACCCAAGGAACCACCCCCCGGGAGCATTGTCTACAAGTGGACATGACTCCATTCTTAACTCAGCACCACTTTCTGGATCATCCTTTCATCTTCCATAAGGCCTGATTTGCAGCTAAATAGTTTGCTCAGGCTGCTTCTAGCCCATAATGACTGGGAGTCAGTGACTTTAGTTTGAATGAAACTGTCTCAATGTAAACTGGTGGTGCTTTTATTGAGTTCTTTTAAAAACATTGTATTCTGTGTGACTCTTAATGGGATTCACTAGGTCAGATAAAAACTATCTCCATTAATCTTTTCCAGATATACCTTCTCTACTTTCAGCTGCAGGTCCGAGTGCTGTGTGAAAATACTCCTATTCCTGCAGAAGCCTTTTGTGTAGCCAGGAGGATGTGAGAATCACTCCCTTAAATCTTTCTGAGGTCTTAGCAGAGAGGGCTTTACCTTGACCCCACATTTTACTAGTGGCATCTGAGAAATGATAAGTAGCTAATAAAATAGTGCTGTTGAAAATATTTCATTGAATGTGTTCAGATGTGTTGTTAAATGAAAAATAATTTAGAGAACTGTTACAGTGCAACCCAAGTCCTGTGTGTATCTGAACTGTTAAAGAAGAAAATTATCCTGACACTCGTTAAAACAGCAAGGAAGATTTTATTCGGGATTTTTGCCATTAGAGTTTTACAGCAGGACAGAGATCAGGCTGTTAAAAACGACTGTAGGCCTAGAATGGAGTTGTTCACGCTAGGCTCCACGTCACCAAACAGACACATAATTTTGGTTCTCTCTCCCAGAAATCCTCCACCAGTTAATCAGGAATCATGAGCCAGTTCATCAGGAGTCCCCTTATGAGCAGTAGTTAGGTAATCTGCCTCACTGATGCCCGCCATCCCTGAAGGAAAATGATCTTAGATTAACCAATCCATGTCTTTGCCTAGTATAACTTCCTTGTGCCCCCTCCCTTCTGTCTCTTTCCAATTTTGTACGGCTACTTGGAGCTCCTTTCTGTCTCCTAGATTGGATACTGCTTGATTTTTTTAAAAAAACTCAAATTTTTAAATATGCCTCAGTTTATCTTTTAATAGACTGACCTCTGAATACACCAAGGACAAGTGGGGTTGTAGAGGCAAAAAGCAGAGGGAGGTGGTCAGTGGATGGACACTGTAAGAGGAGAGATCAAGGGTAGGAGGATTCTTGCTAAACTGACCTAACCAGATTCTTGCTACAGGCAGCCGGGGATTTATACATCAAAGGTGAATGATGACGAATATGAACAGATACCAAGGGTGGGAGGATTCTTGCTAAGACTGGGCTCTGCGGGCCTGGCAAGGACAGGATGGACACAGACAGTCCAGGCCTACTCAAGAAGAGAGCCCAAAAGAGCCAGACTACAGTTTGGTCAGAGAGGAGAGAGACTTTGTCAGAACTTGTGCATAAGCCTGCACATCCAGAAAATGTACCCATATGCTCATCTCCTCATAGCATCACCCTTCTGGAAATTTGGGCTTGGAACTGTAGATACAGCTGTAGAGTGGCTGCTGTCTTAAACCGAGGAGGTGAGAAACTTTTTTACAGATTTATTTATTTTGAGAGAGAGAGTTGGTGGGGTGAGAGGGAGAGAGAATGTCAAGCAGACTCCTCGATGATTGCAGACCTGCTTGACCTCACGACTGTAAGATCATGACTTGAGCCAAAACCAAGAGGCAGACACCTAACTGACTGAGTCACTCAGGTGTCCCAAGGGGGTAGGAAACTTAAAAGATGTTTTTAGTGACTCTTGTAGGTATTATGGACACCGGGAAGAAGCTAGCTTGCAGGAGAGCTACAGGATTGAAGCAGACCTGCAGAGGAGCGGTTGTGAAAGAGAAGGGGGAGGCAGAGAGAGAGAGAGAGAGAGAGACAGTGGGCTTCTGCATGTCCTACGGTGTCCAGTCCCTGGCTCTAATCCATTCTGGAATTCCAGTTTAATACAATAATGGTAGTTCATGTTTCTGGAGCCCTTGATGTGTGCCTGGTGTAATTATCACAAAGATCCCATGGCCCTTTTTTTTTTTTAAATATGTACTATTTATTATTTTTTTAAAGACTTTATTTATTCATGAGAGACAGAGAGAGAGGCAGACACAGGCAGAGGGAGAAGCAGGCTCCATGCAGGGAGCCCGATATGGGACTCAATCCCGGGACTCCAGGCTCATGCCCTGGGCTGAAGGCGGCGCTACACCACTGAGCCACCTGGGCTACCCCCAATCTACCTTTTCAGGTCAATTTTTTCTCTTCATATGTAGAGCTTTCTCTTGGTGAGGATTTGCATGTGAGTAATCCACTGGGCCTCATTGTCTTAAACAACTGAGTTTTTGGTTCAGTTTCTCAAGGACTTTACACCACAGGCCACTGTGAATTTCTGGCTCTTCCTTTGTGGCCCTCAGAGGCTACTTTGTAGATCCATCTTCTATATATTCCAGGCAGAAGACCAGGATAGGGCTCAGGGCTCCCTGGAGAGAAGCATATTGCATAGTTTAGGGCAAGAAATATGAGGGTCTAGAATATTCTGTTACTGCCAATAAACAAAACTTACAAAGACTCTGATGACAAAGTAAGTTATATCTAGTAATGAATTTACCTAGAAATAAGTTCTGTAATCATAATAGTATGTAGTGTATTTTTCTGCTTTTTAGGGTGAAAAGGTGAATAAGGAGACTAATTTGACTTATAAGTCTAATGATTAATAATTACATAATAACAATCATAATTATATATAATTAATAATTATAATTAATTATATTAACATAATAAGTCAATTCATAAGATATACATAATTAAGTTTGAAGTCACTGTTTAAATGTTTAAGTTACAATTTATTAAATTTATATGGTTAAACTTTTTAGATTTAGTGTGTTTTAAATGTTTAGAAAGGGTCCATAGAAATGTGAACCTATGTTTTTGGGATTTTGAAGGACTTGAAAAAAAGGAATATATTAGATGATAATTTGAATTTTCTAAAACTTAATTTTAAAAATTTGATAAATATTTGGGTATACTTTATATCAAATTTATAAGCCTAATCAGTCACTTAGGCTTATACATTTATTAATCTAAATGAAATAAAATTAGATAATAAAATATGAACACAAAGCCCATCAATTTGTAAACAAAATTACATGAGTTTAAAGGCTTAGAAATTCAGTTTTAAAATACATTATATCAATATATAAAATGTAAGTTGCAACTCAACTTACTTATTTCAGTGCCTGAAAGTTCTCTTTCAGACATAAAAACTCAGATGACACTTTGGGTGTATCAGTCAGTGTATGGCTAAGTTCCCCTGTGGTAACAAACAACTCCAAAAGTCTCTCTCAGTGGTTTGCAGTGACTACAGTTCTGTTCTCATTCATGTTTCATGTCAGCCATGGGCTGTCTGTAGTTCCATTTAGTTCTGGTCGCTCTGGGAACCAGGTTGATGCAGCAGCCTCTGTTTGGGACTTTGCTGATGA